AGAGTAGAGTAGAATAGGACTACCCCACTTGGCCAGCGTGTGGATTGTACACCATTTACCTCTGGTAAATAAGGGTCGTCCTTCTTAAATGAAAACCTGCTGATGACTAAATGACTTACCTGATAGCAAATAAGCGCCATTCGCCCATCATGTGACCAGGAGAAGTGTGTGACGGGGGTGCTGCGGTCGTTGATCAGCTCGATGCTCCAGCGGCCCTCGTACTTGATCCACACGAAGATCACGCCCGAACTGTCGCACGAGGCCAACTTCTGGTACGGCTCGTTCCATTTCACAAGAATCACCTGCGAAGCAAAATTGTCTTTGTATTAACGATGTTAAGATTTACTTTAGAATAAACCATTACGAGTACACCTAACATAAACAAAAGATACATTATTGACGTGCGATGGGAAATAGACTTAGTACTGACTGTGATAAGATCTATTTTAGAATACACTATTACATAACCAACACAGACAAAAGATATGTTACTTTACTTCAAATATAAATTCCTCGTGAAAATTTTTGAAATTCGAACGTGCATTTTCACCTTTTGTGAAAAGCAGTATCCTGAGATTGCGATGCGATTGCAACATTGAAGTAATATTACTACGTATAGAACAGACATCGCGAACAAAATATGTACAGTGCGGGGTGCGGGGCGGGAATTTGACGGACAGCTGTCAGTCAAATCCATGACTATCAAGTTTCATAATTTATGGCGATAAAATCTGCACCAGAAAATGTCGTACTTCATTGATAGGATTGCACGAATAGTGACGTTCCTGCGGTCGCCTCATCATAGACATTGTGAATCGATTGTGAAAATAAACAAATCGGCTANCCCCCCCTGAAAATAACCCCAGATACGCCAATGACTCATAATAAAAAGTAAGTAATTAATTAATTTCTTAGGTAGGTAAGTATTAAAAACTAAAAAATATGTCGATTTCTTTAATGGTATGTGTCATAAAAGAACCTAACACCATACATTTATATATCACGAACTTGGAAAAAAGTAACAATAATACGGTTCCTTGTTTCGTGATACTGATTATTCCAAATTGCCCAAGTAAAATTCATGGATTATTGTCAAAATGTGTCAATTAACTATTATCTATCCCATATACAATGCAAATAAACAAAGATAAATAAAACAAATCGAAATAAAACCAAAATTATGCTGGTACTACTTATGCTAATTTATCTTAAAATTGGTCATATATGTGAACTTCAAACTCGTGTCATATAAATTCTAGTGAACGAAACATATACCGAACTTAGGTCATGAGAAACTTAAATAAATGCATTATTTGTTTCATAACTTACATTTAAATTATCATAAATAATTATTTAAAAACCAAGCATCAAAATGTTATCCATAATATCCTTGAATCGGTAGTGTCACGAAATAGAGGACATCCGAAAAATAATATGTACGCTATTTCGTGAGTCAATTAATCGCAATTTTAAAGGAATTCTACGTTTTCATATAACTTTTTTCTAAGCTAAATCCATTGTCAAGGAACACATGAAACCATTATTACAAGTTTTATTTAAATGGACGTTCCTTCGCCTTTTTATAAGCTTAAGAAGTTGGAGCGCTAACCTTACGGTGAGAACAACCTTTGCAAGCCGCACGGCTGTTTTTGGCTCTTTGAGAGTTTGAAGCTTCGTATTGCTCTCATTTTTGGTGCCACAATGTTGGTACTTGGTTTTTTAGATAGCTTAAATAATAGAGTTTTTGTAGTAATGAAGAATTTTTATGTATAATATTCCAATTGCTTATTATTTGAGCTAGAAAAAAAACTTACGAACTTACGTACTATCACGAACTAGTAGCCGTTTACCTTATGCTACGGGAACCGAGCACAGAATCTTGTGTGAACTGTGAATGATCAATTAGCTATCAAGCCATTATAACCTTCTGGGTCATTCTACAAAAATATGTCAACTCTTAGTCNTCAGCACTTCACTTAATTTACTGCACTTGACATGCAATCTTGGATAATGTGGCTTTTGATGTATTGAAACGCTAGTGAAACTATTACGATTGATGTATACTTACGAGCAAAAGTATGGAATCATCCCCTTGTGTTTTGTTCCGAGCCATCATAAGAACTGAATGCCTATGAATGTATCTTTGGTATTAATTTAAAGTATATAATATCACCTTTAAAATAGTACCATTTTTATTTATCTTCTATTAGTCATTTAGTTCTTACGATCGTTCATAACAAATAGGGTGATTCCATACTTTTGCTCGCGAGTGTATTTATGCAGTCAGTACGATGGATTGTTACATGAATAAGTTCTATGCGAATTTTGAACTGTATGCGGTTTTCGAATTGCGGTTTGACGAATGTGGGTTAAGCTTTGGATATATTTTAGCACATTTAAGTACGTTTTGAACACACTAAAGGTACAGTTACACATGGCCATAATGTCATGCTTGTTAGGATGTTTAAAAAAGCGTTCTTGTACAACTTGAAATTAGCATGCTTTTTAAACGCAAAGCTTCCTTCGACACATATGTATGCTACTGGCCTGATTCGACCAATTTTTTATCCAAGAATAACTCCTGGTATAACTGGCACATTGACAGTTTCAGTATGGGAAGTATGTCAAAATGACAAGTTTATTCTGAAATTAACTCTTGTTTGGTCGAATCCACCTTATAGCAAATGTCGTGATAGTAATGAGCATGTATCTGTACCTTTAGTTACAGCTCTATATTATTTTATTTATTTAATAGCATTTCAGCTCTCTGAAATTAAAATACCACTGTATTTACTGTAGTACAACTCGTTTGGCTTAGTTAAAACATAAAATATTCAATGTCCTTCTAAAAAGGTTTTTAAACCAAAATAGGTAAGTAATTAAACCTACCAAGCAAAACTTAAACAACGACACTGTAACTTTTCTTTTAAGTTTCTTAATAAATAGTCCAGTCAATGAATGCCTTAACGACGGTGTAGAGAGAAATCCGTGGAACACAATTTCTGACCTCGGGACTTTATTTAGACTAGTTAGGAGGTGAACATAGCAAAAGTCCCCGCCCTTAGCCCTTGAGCCGGCGGGGTGAGGGGGGTTAAAGGTAACACTTTTCGGTTTTTCGCTTAATCCTCGGAAACTATGCGTCCTAGTGACATAGCCACTATGAACCAAAAAAAGCTTATTCAATTTGCTACAGGTGAGACTGTCAAGTTATTCTATATCTTATATAGTTTTCGCGGCATCTGCTCTAGAAGGTCCGTAATATTAGAAATTTTAATTTTGTTTTACATGTTCCCATCAGGAGAAAATCTACTAAATCAACATTGAGAAAACATTATAGACATGCGGGAGCATGTTAAGCCTAGTTCCAGGGAGGGGACTGCCTCGTGCGTATATTTAGACGAACTAGTTGCAGCCACTTTTGACTCCTCATCACTCAAAAAGCACTGTGCATTAACACTTCAAATTTTGCTCATGTGTTGAGACTTGCAAGATAAACATCAGCTTCAAAGGACATTGTCAGAAANGTACGAATCGTTATTCAGAAGTTTATTTTACCAGAACTACAACAGTTTTTTTTTAATCGATCGGAACATAAGTTTTTTACTGTTTCGCGGATTTACCCGCCAGTGTTTAAAAAATATTGTTATTTCTCTACGCATGCGCTTCCAACTGACAGCAGAACTGTCGAAGGAAGCGTTCGCTATTTTCGTCACTCTGGCATCTGGCCCATTAGCTCAGTTGGTTAGAGCGTCGTGCTAATAACGCGAAGGTCGCGGGTTCGATCCCCTCATGGGCCACTTATCTTTTTTTATTTATTTTTTATTTTTATTCATTTGTAATTTTTTTATCTTATTATTTTGTTGATTTTTTATTGTGTTTTTTTTACAAAATGTTTGGATAAACTTTTCAATTTATTTTTCTATCAATTCAAATTTTGTTTTTGTTTTTTAACATAATATTTTTTTAAATTATTTGACTAAGTTAAACTTCAAAAAATTAAACCTACTTGTACGGAAATTGTTCCAATACAAAATGAAATACTAGTCGTGGTAGAAAATACATACTTTTGACTGACTTAAAAATTGTATTGTATATTTTATCTTACGAGAAGATAAGCCGATTTGGAGAAAAATGGCACCCCTGGCGTTTGACAGGACCTTACTCTACAGTGGCGCCATCTTGATGAGTGCAAATGCGATAGTCCTCCTACCACTTTAGTGCTCACCAGTTGGTGCCACTGTCTTCGCTACTAGCAAGTGACAGGACCTTACTCTACAGTGGCGCCATCTTGATGAGTGCAAATGCGATAGTTCTCCTACCACTTTAGCGCTCACCAGTTGGTGCCACTGTCTTCGCTACTAGCAAGTGACAGGACCTTACTCTACAGTGGCGCCATCTTGATGAGTGCAAATGCGATAGTCCTCCTACCACTTTAGTGCTCACCAGTTGGTGCCACTGTCTTCGCTACTAGCAAGTGACAGGACCTTACTCTACAGTGGCGCCATCTTGATGAGTGCAAATGCGATAGTTCTCCTACCACTTTAGCGCTCACCAGTTGGTGCCACTGTCTTCGCTACTAGCAAGTGACAGGACCTTACTCTACAGTGGCGCCATCTTGATGAGTGCAAATGCGATAGTCCTCCTACCACTTTAGTGCTCACCAGTTGGTGCCACTGTCTTCGCTACTAGCAAGTGACAGGACCTTACTCTACAGTGGCGCCATCTTGATGAGTGCAAATGCGATAGTTCTCCTACCACTTTAGCGCTCACCAGTTGGTGCCACTGTCTTCGCTACTAGCAAGTGACAGGACCTTACTCTACAGTGGCGCCATCTTGATGAGTGCAAATGCGATAGTCCTCCTACCACTTTAGTGCTCACCAGTTGGTGCCACTGTCTTCGCTACTAGCAAGTGAGAGGACCTTACTCTACAGTGGCGCCAACTGGTGAGCGCTAAAACGATAGCCCTCATTGAAGTTGTGTTGTCAACTTTTTGGTCACTATGGGACAAAAAGAGGAGGGTGGAGGAGGGAAGAGGATGTTTTTGAGATACTCAATACTCAATATTTTATGGCATGCATTATGTACTTAAAATTAGAACATTATGGGCCCTGTAGGGCACGGCGCTTAGGAGAGAGGAGGATCACTCTAGAATACTCTAGATCAACCGAAAAATGTAATCAGAAATTAGAGCCTAATAATTTATCATGTTGTGATGTCAAACGTCAGTGAGACTTCAGATCTCCGTCAGATTTTTATGCTCTGTCACGTCATTATGTCAATGTGACCGCTCCCATACCTCAGTCAGGCACTGACCGAGCTAAGCGTTACCTATAATAATCCTTTTGTCCACAGATTCCTCACCAAAAACTACCTTACCAAGCACATCCGCACCAAACACGCGAAGGACAGACAGAAGTATATTTGCGATATGTGCGACTTCACGACGTACAACAAACCCAGTATAGTGATGCATATCAAGTACGGACATAACTATGATAATAAGGTGAGGATTTTTTGAATAGGGTAATTTCGCCTGTTTGCGTCCACTCGCATTCAAAAAGCTGATAACTTTTTAAAAAATCGTGAAAATTAGTAGGGATGTTATGGATATGTAGTTTCGGTTATGGATACGGTTACGGATATAGAAATAATATTATAACGATTTCGGTTACGGTTACGGATATTTTTTTATTTCGGATATCCGAAAGTTTCGGTTACGGTTAAGGATATCCGTGCTTTAGAATGCAATTTTCAATAGTTGTCCAACACGGTTCATTCATGGCCACACACTTTAGATCAAACAAAAAAAAATTGATACTAGATGGCCTTTGAACAATTGAAACTGCCTACATCCGAAACTATCTGAAACTTTTGAATCGGGTATGGCTAGGGATATTTTTTTATTTCGGATATCCGAAAGTTTCGGTTACGGTTACGGATATCCATAACATCCCTGAAAATTAGTATAAAATGATTCAAAAATATTTGCTACTTTTATGTGTATTTGGAGTGTTACATTTTACATAACCTTTGTATTTTACATATTTGAGAGCGTATTTGTGTGTTTATTGTTTCACAGACTGAATGCAAAATATGTGGCAAAATATACAAAAGCAAGACTTTCCTGAAACTACACTACAAGAATACACACAACGTGTCTATGAAAACGTAAGTATACTGTAAATTATGACGTAGTCAATAATTTGCAAAAAAAAATCTTGAGGTGACCACAGAACGGAAAACGAAAAGTTTCCACTGGGTGGACCGACGATCTGGTGGAGGTCTCAGGTCAGGAAGCGCCTGATTGCGAGAAAGCCTTTGTCCTAAGATGGCATTAGTTTGAAACTATTGGCACTTCTGCGTAGTTCTTTGTAAATTGATTGTACACTTGAAAAATTCACTCTCTCTTGAAGGATATTCAAGATTGTTCTATTAATCACATTTGATTTGATTTTTTCAGCAAATCGAAGACCCTGCCCAATATACAGATAAAAGAAGAGCCGCTGGATCCCGTTCCTGATTTGGAGATAGATTTGCTGGACATTGAAAAGGAGGAACCGTTCACAGGTTTGTCCGTAATCATCATTTCAGCCACAGGACGTCCACTGCTGAACATAGGCCTCCCCCAAATGATTTCCATCGCCTGGTTAGTAGTGGCCTGCATCCAGCGCCTTCACGCTACCTTTATGAGGACGTCGGTCCACCTTGTAGGTGTGGGTTGCAGCTTTTATCACTTATTTTATTATTTACTAGTTATTTATGTAAGTAAGCCAAGTTGACAATAGTGACTGAGTTTCTTGCGCTGCTTCTTCTCAGCACTGGCCCATTTATTGTCCTGAAGCAGTGGTAGTGCTTTTTAAAAGTCTATTTGAAAAAATAAATGCGTTTTATGAGTGCTATGCTCGGAGTTTCCCTGCGTGATCGAATCAGAAATAAGGAGATCCGTAGGAGAACCAGAGTGACTGACATAGCTCGCAGAATCGCTAAAACCAAGTGGCAGTGGGCGGGGCACATAGCTCTGAGAGCTGATGGCCGCTGGGGCAGGAAAGTTCTAGAGTGGCGACCACGAGCCGGAAGACGTAGCGTGGACAGGCCTCCCACTAGGTGGACCGACGATCTGGTGAAGGTCTGGTGCCTGGATGCGAGCGGCGCAGGACCGGTCTTTGTGGAAATCCTTGGGGGAGGCCTTTGTCCAGCAGGGGACGTCTTTCGGCTGAAACGAACGAACGAAGGCTCCAATAGATAGATAGATAGAAATAGTAATGAACATTTTTTTTTATTGTAGGCTACGACTCAGAGTACACCGATAGCATGGCAGCGTTCGACAAGGAAGAGAACGAACGGCGTTTACGCGTACTGTTCAAGAAGATGATACACGACCCTGACTTAGAAGAACACGGTGATGGTAAGTGACCATACAAGTAATTTTATTTTTAGTTTTAAGTTTTATTTTTAATGTGTTGTGCCAAATAGACAATTTTTTATTTATTTTTAGCTATTTGCTTCACAATTAAAATATTCCTTTAGTTTTCCGTACAGACGCCATTAAACAAAAACAATCTATCAAATCTAACTTTTTAAAAAACCATAGTGTATCATTTTTACTCACGTGCCAGGGTTTGTACGCGGGAAGTTTGAATAACAATGAGGGTCTATAGTGAGTCTCATTACATTTATTATAATGGACTCTTGCCCGTTTTCACCATCAATCCCTATTTTCTAAGTGACCCCTATGGTAATACAACAGGAATTTTGTTTTCATAGGGGTCACTTAAAAATTAGGGATTGATGGTGAAAACGGGCATCTGTCTCCGTAATAGGGTCTGATGGTAGTTAATTGTATGTTAGATGCGAGAAAATACAATTTATAGAGAAAAACAAACACACTAAAACAATACTAAAAAAAAGATAAAACCAATAGTATATCTCGTAGAGCTGATAGACGTTAGGGCAGAAAAGTTCGACGTGGTGCAGGTAAGCCCCCTACTAGGTGGACCGACGATCTGGTGAAGGTCGCGGGAACTGCCTAGATGCGGGCGGCGCAGGTACAATCGTTGTGGAAGTCTTTGGGGGAGGCCTTTGTCCAGCAGTGGACGTTATTTGACTGAAACGAACGAAACAAAAATATTTGTTATTTTATTTAAAGGAGCTATGGACCATATCGACACAGCCAAGAAGGAGAATAAAACTGAAGACACTCCTGACTCTCCAAAGAACACTAAAATGCCATTTGAAGACACTCAACAGAACACCACAATACCACTTGAAGATACTTCACAGAAGTCCACAATACCACGTGAAGACACTCTGCAGAACACAGCAATGCCAATTGAAGACACTCCGCAAAACATTACAATTCCATTTGAGCACACTCCGCAGAACACAACCATGCCACTTAAAGATACTCCACAGAATGCCACAATACAATTTGAAGACACTCCACAGAACACCATGATACCATTTGAAGACACTCCACAGAATGCCACGATGTCATTTGAAGACATTCCTCAAAACACAGCCATGCCACTGGAGGAGTTGATCCAGCAAGACACGCTGCTATTGGTAGTGGGAGATGGACAGAAAACTTTACAGGAACAAGGTATTTACATTGTACTATCTGATACAGACAGACTATACCGGTTTTCTTTAATCATTCCTTCGTCAAATCCGGCCGTCAATTGTTAAATTACAATTTGTTTTTGGTCTAAATATCTACGGTTTTCGATGATTTTACATTTTAATAGTGTTTACTAGACTATTTTTTAAACTATTTATAGAATCCAGTTAATTTTGGAGTATTTTTGACCTACAGTGGTAAAAAAATGTATAGTGACTACAACCTGGGTCTCTACCCTATAATGTCAATTGACTGTTGGTATCAAGTGTCAACCACCCATTGTCAAATGTCACCCATGTGGATATTTCTTTCCAGAATCAACTAAAAACATGCTAGAAGAAGAAATTCCACCTAAAACTCCAGAAACAGTTTCTATGGTGGAAGAAATGAAGCAAATGGATGAAGAAGAAAAAACTGAACAATCGACGCCGACGCCTGAGGATGATAGTAAGTTGTCAATTTTATTCTACTAGCGGCCGCCCGCGACTTCGTACGCGTGGATCCCGTTTTACCCCCTTCATCTATCTTACGCGGTTTAGATTTTTTCATACAAATGTTTTTCCCGCTAACTCCCGTTCACGTGGGAATTTTGCAATATCCTGTTGTAACTAAGCCTTAAGTTTACTAAGGTACCTGCATGCCAAATTTCAAGCGTCTAACTTAAGCGATTTAGATTTCGGTCATACAAAAGGATTTTCCCGCTAATTCCCGGTCCCGTGGGAATTTAGGGAATTCCTTTCTTAGTGCACCTCTACGGTACCTAAGCTACGTCCTTTCCAAATTTCAAGTGCCTACGTTTAGCCGTTTAGGCTATGCGTTGATATGTCACTAAGTCGAGTCAGTTTCTCCTTTTATATGTATACAGGGTGTTAGGTAAATGGGTATATGAGCCGACACTAACCCATGTTAACATGGTCATATAAATGGTATGGTGAAGTCAGAAAATTGATATCTTCATTTTAATTATTTTAATTTTCATACAAATCGGATTTTATAAAAAAAAAATTGTATGAAAATTAAAAAAATTAAAATGATGAAATCAAATTTCTGACTTCACCATACCATTTATATGACCATGTTAACATGGGCTAGTGTCGGCTCATATACCCATTTACCTAACACCCTGTATAGATTTAGATATGAAGAGTATTTCCCGTTAACGAAAAATCGTAGAACACACATGGGGTGGTGATTGATTCGGGCAAGTCAGCCCTACTAAAGAACTACCAACTTATTCTGTGGCACTACCTCTGGGCTTCTGATTGACACTACTTTTTGGGACAGCCTGTATAAAATAAGTTTTATTTTGTTGTAGACTCAACAGAATCGACTGAAGTGGCTGAGAATCGAACTGAAGACGCGCCGGCCGGCCCTATGCCAGTCGAGGAGTTCATCCAACAAGTCATGGGGGACATGGAAGACCCACAGCAAGAAGAAGACGGTATGTCATCATCATCATCATCATCTCAGCTATAGGACGTCCACTGCTGAACATAGGCCTCCCCCAATGCTTTCCATGCCGCCCGGTTGGTAGCGGCCTGCATCCAGCGCCTTCCTGCTAAAGCCCGGTCTCCGAGCACGTAGAATTTCGTCCAATGACCCCAAGCTACCCATCCTTATCGCTCGCGCGTAATTATGTTGCTGTCGCGCTCGCACACTCACTGCGGGCGCCCGTCGCACAGTCGCTTGGGGTCATTGGACGAATTTTGGTCGGCGACCAGACTATACCTTTATGAGGTCGTCGGTCCACCTTGTGGGTGGACGTGCCACGCTGCGCTTTCCGGTACGTGGCCTCCACTCCAGAACCTTGCTGCCCCATCGGCCGTCAGTTCTGCGTACTATGTGCCCTGCCCATTGCCACTTCAGCTTGCTAATCCTGTATGTATCACACTAATATTATAAAGGCGAAAGTTTGTGAGTCCTACAGAATTTAAATTCTTAAAAAAATACGTCGCCATACTAGGGGTGACATTGACATATTATGACGTGACAGAGCATACAAATGAGAAGCACATCTGCTGAAGTCTCGCTGACGTTTGAACTCCTCTGTGGTCTAGTGGTAGCTGCTTCAGATGCAGAGGTCCCGGGTTCGATTCCCAGTGGGGGCAGATTTTTCTGTTCGGTTTGGTTGGTGGCAGGGCTTGTTCTAAGTCCGCCTGGCTAGCTACCACCATCTTACCTAAGTCTGTCGCCATAACAACAATGTTAACAGCATTGTTGTGTTCCGGCAGTTAGAGGTAAGATAGCCAGTTCCTCCGTGGTGGAGGATTCCGGGTGAAGCTCGCTTCCGGGTGAACAGGCCAAGAGCTTCCATGTTGTGGATAAAAAAAACATACAGACAGAGACAGACATACACACACACACACACACACATATTATAATTTAATTAGGCACATATAAGCGCGATTAACATTTTCAACTATTTCTTTTTCTTTCAGACACGTACACTCTAGACAAGGAATCCGAGGAGTTCGTAAGGAAACGAATCCGAGAACTGTTGACGAACCAACGGATTTTGGACCGAGAGTCGCGTATTGGATTCGGACGGAAGATGCTGAAGAGAATCTCACGAGACGGTCAGTGTCATCAGAGACTTCGGTAGTGTTGCCAAATTCAAATATTTATTTGCACAATCTATATATATAAAAGAAAGACGGCTGAACCGATTTAGCTGAAAATTGTCAGGGAGGTAGTTTAGAGCCAGGAGAAGGACATAGGATACTTTTTATCCCGTTCGAAATAAAAAAAAGTCTGCTTATTTATTGCCATTAGGGCGGAACAAAGTTCGCCGGGTCAGCTAGTTTTGGATAAACGTAAGACCGTAAGATCATCGTAATTATAATCATGGCTGATTGAGAAGGGTTTTTACACCATTAAGGAATACTTTGATGCTTTTAAGTTTCAGTAGTATGTACCACATGTTTCCTGTTTTTGTTGCATGTATCTATTAAATTGAGTTAATTAATTACTTGTAAGCTATTTGCATGCCAGTTGTGGTGATTTGTGCGAACTATTTTTATATTGGCATCTGCTGTACCGCTTATCAAGCAAATATATGGATTTTGAATTGATTTTTGATTTGATCTTAAAACTAGTGTAATTTAAATAGGGCCAAGCTGTTTAACGCTTAACCAGGCTCAAAAAAGTCATTGTTTTTTAACCGTATCTTCACAGCATAAAGTTCAAATTAATATGGATTCTATGGCCATCAGAGCCTGGCTGGGATAAAATTATTAGTCAGTCTACTAATTGAATTATTGAACCCACTCTTAACACAGATTCCAATCAATAAGGAAGGACTACTGAATATGCTCTCAAAAGTTGACGCCACTGTCAAGTCCTTATAGATGACCCACGCTGAACTGTCCCACCAAACTCAATGACAGGGGGGCGCTACCATCGTTCAACTATTTGGTTTCCAACATGGCAAAAATCGGAACCACACTAACAATTTTTGAAGTACTTTTTATGGGCTGTTTAAACTCTATTCTTATAATATGTATTATTAAATCCATATCTTAATATTATTCATGTGTCGCGTTAAAACCTGTTTAAATTAATTAAATTAGGCAACATATACTTTTGATTTTTACAGAAATGGAGACATCCCAAATAAAACCACGAGTAACTCGAGCCGTCGAACCAAACACTGAAAACATTATTTCAGAAATAAAAAACAAAGAAAAACAGGCAAGAAAAGAGGCAAGAAAGGCCAGAAGGGAAGAAAAGAAGATAAAAAAGAAAAGAAAACGCAAAACTAAAGTCAAGAGTGACAAGGATAGCAAGAGTGGAGAGAAAAAGACGGAAAAGAATAATAAATACGATCCCAAATTGATCTTTAATATGTTCCAGTGTAATGTTTGTTTTAAGGTATGTATGAAAAATATTAATTTTAGCATAAAACTACTATTTTACTGATTCTGGGCTAAAAGACGAGAGAATGAGGTTCATAATGATGTGGGAAATATATTCCCAGGCATTATTTAAGTACCAACAAACATATTTTCTGTACCCTTTTTATCAAAAGTTTATTGTAGTGGACTTGAAGACATAATTACAAGAAAAACCTTTTCTTTTTGAGAAATAATTGACTGATAGAATATAGGTACTGTCTTAAGTTCACATCGCAATAAAGTGTAGATAACTAAATAAAATGACAACTATAAATGAATACTAATAAAAACTTTAACTTTATACGGAAGTGGGAATACAGTTCCCACTTCCCACCCTATTTTGAACTTAATTCCTGTCTTAACGTCTAAAAAAACAATAAAAAATTTGGACTTCAACTTTTAATGACAATGTAAAAATACCCAAACAATAATAATTATACCTTTTCCAGCTGTTCCAAACCAAACCTGAATTGATGGAGCACTGTCAAATACACTTTGACGTATGCAGCGACACAATGCTCATGAAATGTCCGCTCTGTGACTACGTCACGGAAAGAAACATACGAAAACACATGAAAACAGTACACAAGGAAGACGTAAAAATATCCTTTTTAAGTATACTCGATCGGAAAGAGACAACAAATAACTCTAGGTATTATTACGAGACAAAAAATGACAATGCAAAAGAATTGGATATCATACCTAGTATCAAAATATTGAATAAGAAAGCTGGTATGGATTTGGATAGGAAGAACAGAGAAATAAAGAAAAAATCTATGTCTACTTCTAAATTGGTTAAAAAAGGTAAAGAATGGATTGTGGAGACGCAAAAATTCGATGTATCAGGTTATGTTTTGCCTAATTCGAGTGAGTTGGATAAAAATGATGCAGATTATTTGAAGAAGTTGAAGAAATTGGGGATTGAAGCGAAGAGAAAAGGCGTTAAAATGTTGTACCCCTGTAATAAATGTGAAAAAGTATGCCAAAATCTGAGTGCGGTTACTTTGCATGGCAGAACGCATGATCCGAATAAAAAACCTTTTAGGCCTAAAGTATGGAAACACAAGACAAATAACTCTAATAATAATGCTAATCCTGAGAAAAATGAAGACGTGACTGCAAAAATAAATAATCGAACGGCGAAGCCTAAACCGATCGTAAATAAACACAAATGCGACCCAAAACTGAAGGATTTTTATGAGAAAAATATTAGAGGCTTGAATATAGAATTTTGGCAGTTTTTGAAGATTTTCAACAAGATGGAGCGAGAAAAGATAAATGATTTTGACGATTTGAAAAATTCTACAGAATATGGCATTGGACATGTTAACTATTTATATGATGCCCCAAGTAACAGTCAGACTGATATTAATACAGAAAAAGAAATAAATATCAAAGATAATAAGCTAAAAAATACCAGTATGGCGTCTAATAAAAATAAAAAGCTAAGTGTTACCAGTAGAAATAATTCAAAAGTTGCCAGCAATAAAGCTAAGTTCACAAGGACGATTAGATTAAGCAGATTTGAGCATAATAGAAGGATGGAATTGCAGAAGAAATTGAGGGAGAAAATAGCTAATACAGAAAATACTGAAGACTAGACCCCGTGGGTTCTTTCGTATTTCACGAGTAACAGATTGTTATGACCGTGATCATAAAACCTGGGCCCCAGTTGCGCTAAAATTTTTCCAACAGCAACGCGTTTGGACGGCGAACGAACATCAGCTGTTTTGACAACGCCTCGGAGTAAAAGCTGACAGAAGGCTACTTTTTCTCAAACGCAATTCAAACGCGTCACGAATATTTGCTGTTTAGTAATTTTAGTTTAAAAAACAAGGTGTTCGAAATTTAATGGATATTGCATAAATCCATTGTGTTGTCTTTGTTTGCGCGTGAACTTGCCGATATACCTAATTGCACATCAGCTGGAATGAAAAAGGAGCGTAACTGGAGATGAAGCGCGAATGAATTGGAGACATTACACATTAGCGCAATCGGGACTCTGTGGTCGTATCGATGAGATTCGTAGATTTGTGTCCCACCGATAGTCGAACCAAGGATTTCCGTATCTGATCACTTAGCACTGATTGATGTAGGCAGTAGGTAATGTAATATTTAAAGTTCCTAATATTAAAACGCATAATTATTATACTACTACACTCGCGAGCAAAAATATGGAATCACCCTATTTATTCCGAGCGATCATAAGAACTAAGTGTCTAATAGAAGATCAATAAAAATGGTACCATTTTAAAGGTGATATTATAAACTTAAAATTGATACCATAGATACATACAATACATAGTCATTCAGTTCTTAAGACCGCTCGGAACACAAAGGGGTGATTCCATACTTATGCTCGTAAGTATAGATTCTGCAAAAAAAACGAAGTGGAAAAGAACCTTAGGTGGTTGAATTAAGTGGTATTTTGCAATAAATATTTATATTCTGATTAGCTGTTGTTTGAAGATGATGTTTTTTAGAGTATCGTGTTCATGAAAATGCATTTCTGTTAGTGTTAAAGACATGAATTTGGTTTGTTCAGATAACTATAAGATGTTTTGTTAAAAATACAAAGTTTAAAACAAGTACTTTTTTTATTTATATCACATTTTATCCTTAAAATTATAGGTTTTCTTATAATTATGTTGCAGCTGGTTTCTTCAGTCTCCATGTATCTGAAAGAGAGAAATCAGTAAAGGATTATTTCATGTAATACTACTTGCTAAAGCCCGGTCTGTGAGCACGTAGAATTTTGTCCAATGACCCCAAGCTACCCATCCTAATCGCTCGCGCGTAATTATGTTGCTGTCGCGCTCGCACACTCACTGCGGCCGCCCGTCGCACAGTCGCGACAGCAACATAATTACGCGCGAGCGATTAGGATGGGTAGCTTGGGGTCATTGGACAAAATTCTACGTGCTCGGCGACCGCACTATAGAATACTTGTATAAGGTGACTGTGACCAGCCATCAAGTCTTGTAGGAATAAGATGATTAGGCATTATCTTGGCGAAGTCAATAGATTTTGAGTTATCATTTGTTGAAAAAAGTTAAAAATTTTACACAAGAGCAAATCTCTCCACATTTAAAATCCTCACACATAAGGTAATTTCATAACTAAGCACTGATTATGTGATCTTGTTTAATTTAAAATTGTTTTAAAAACTGTTTCTAACATAAATAAACCAGTCCTGGGTGAAGTGGAAATCCAAAGCCTTTGTTCAGCAGCAGAGATCTTTCATTGAAATGGCAGCAAATACTGAGTCAAAATATAGTGTGTATAGATGAACTACAATGATCTGTCCCACCCGTGACACTGACAGGGAGGCGCCACCGTCAATACCGGATCGCTGGTTCCGATTTTTGCCGCGTCGGAAACTAGACGCCACGTCACTAACTCGCTTCGAAAAGCTACCTATAAGACCAAAGCTAAAGACGCTGCGTCTGGGACGCTTAGTTCGAAAGGCTACCTTAAACGATGGTGGTGCCCCCCTTTCAGTGTTTTGTGGGGCAGTTCAGTGTAGTTCATCTATAGACATCAACCTACCGCCTCCGATATATCGATCCATTCCATGGCTCTCGTCAGATTGTCATTTTTCGAAGGCTTCTTGTCCCAATTCCAGTAAACTAGCTCTTTGAATCCACCGGCAACCTGCAAAAATACATATTGATCAATACAAATGTTTTGTTTGGGTGTTTCTTCTCAATAGAGACAGTCAGACACACAGAAAGACAGACAGAGACACACAGAGAAACAGACGGATACATAGCACACACACAGAACACACACACACACAGAAAACACACACACACACACAGAAAACACACACACACACATAGATAGACACACATCAAGTATACACTTGAAAAACATAACCCTCCTTCTGGTGCAATCGGGCAAATATTTTACCTGAAATCTTCTATCAGCTTCTTCAGCTAGAGGTTTCTTGGCTTCTGTCACCACAATAGCTCTGTATCCTTTAGGAAGTTCCATGTTGGTTCCATCTAATTTGTGGCCTCTGAAGGTTGCTGTCAAATCTACAAAAAGAAGTTAAATATAACCTTAAAAATATTTATAAGATACTGAATTATAAGATTGTTTATGCTTAAAATGACTACTAATGGTATTTCTTTTAACGTTGGCAACATGAGAAGATGATGTGCACGTTATATTAACTATAAAAAGAGCATACTTTCTGTAGAAAAAGGACTTGACCTCTACAAGCTTAAAAATGTTTTGAAACCACCTAAATCCCTATTATTTTTGCTAATACAGAAGTGAACAAAGAAAACTACGTACTTATATTAGCTTTTAAAGTATATTCTTACCTCCATCATCGTTTTTAGTAACGTACGGCTCGAAATATTTATTTACATTCGCTTGACCATCTTCGTCTATTTTACATGGCACGTAATGAGCCCGCTGTTCAAATAAATCCTTGTTGTCTGTGTTTTTTAAGTTGTTCTCTACTTGTATTGACATTTTTATGTATTTTAAAGTAAAGTTGTAAAAAGTGTTGGTTTTAGGTGAAAAACTGATTTTCCCGCCGCGTTTTCGGCGTTTTGCAAAAGAACTGTCAGCTGTCAGTGTCAATCACAAATGTCACTGTCAATAAGTAGTGTATGAAAANCGCGTAGCTCGTATTTTTCTACATTTTTTACTATTGTAAACGCAGCACATGAAGATTAAACTAATCCTTATGTAAAAGGAACTCTTATTTGAAATCCTGAACACACAGGACGAAGTTAAATTATCAAAACTTTGCTCCAAAGCCGTTGGCGCGGGTAGCGCTGTCAAAGTGGAAAACCAACCGCCTCGGCCCGTGTGTTGAGATTTGGCAATCCAGACATTATTGTCAACAAAATCATACAAGACATCAAGAAAATGCAGTCAATGTCTCCAGAGTATCACAAAGACATAGTGTCTTTTTCTGTAAAAGTGCAAAATTGTGTAGCAGCAGTACAAGCAGTTGGTAGAAACGAATACCTACAAGGCATGAACCTAGTATCGATTATACTGAGCAAATTGCCGGCTGTGCTAATCTCAAAATGGTCTGATTATTGTTTTCCACTTATTGCCGAAGCCAAGAAGTCACGTATGGAAATATTGGCAGACTTTTTGCACGAGGAAGCAGTGAAAATATCAAGTACAGCAAATATAAACATCGTGAGTACGCGCAGTGAGCATGCCTACAAGTCCAAGGGCTACGAAAGCTACGGTAATCGTCAACAAACTGTATTAGTGAACGCGGACAAAGGTGATAAGTGCCAGTATTGCCGTGTCACAAAACACAAGCTTACAGAGTGCAAACTGTTTAACAAAGCGTTGCGTAAAGACAGGTGGCGTTATGTGAAACGGTACGGTCTGTGTTATAAGTGTTTGTTATCGCGTCATGAGCGAGCGACCTGCTCAGCGCCCGCGTGCGACAAGGGCGGCTGCGGGCAGGCGCATCACCGTTTGCTACACTACGCGGCGGACTACAATGGTGACGGTCGGGACACTAACGGCACCCCATAAGGGGTAACTACGTCCTCCACTGAGACGGTAACTCATATAAACGTGTGCGTCAGTGTCAAGTCTGCGATTTTTATTCTTTGAAATTTTCGTAAAATGGCTGCCACTGCGGTGACGCCTTGTAATTAACAAATTAAAATTAAATTAGTGTTTTAAGTGCATAAATGTACAACTTAATGGTAAAAAGTAATTCCTTGATTTTTACTTAATATGTATCTGGGGTTATTTGAACAGTATTTTCACGGTAATAATATCATACAGTATTGTAACTTCATATAAACCGACGAAACGCGAGCTTTCCTTCGAATTTCAAATCTAGGGACGTGGTCGAGATCCAAAAGTTAGGGGTGTCGTGAATGTGCCGAACGGACGTTGATGGCCTAGTGTTGAAAATGACTAAGGTGATTGAATTTGACTGACCGTTTAAGGGCTGATTTTTCAATCGTCAGATATCTTTTAACTGCAGAATAAACTTGTCATTTTGACATATTTCCCATACTGAAACTGTCAATGTGCCAAACTTATTCTTCAGTTAAAAGTTATCCGACGATTGAAAAATCAGCCCTTAAACGGTCAAATTTGTCAATAACTAGTCATTAACTGTCAGAAATGGTCATTTTCAGTCAGTTTGATTTGAAATGAAAATTATATATTGTATAAAACCAGCTTTTGCCAACGATTTCGCCCGCCTGAAATTAAAGTAACAGGTCATTAAGTACTCGTTATGATTAGTAGATTCAAAATTATTTTAGTATATTTTTTAAAATAAAATCTACTAATCACAAAACAACACGCATTTTTACCCTATTCCGTTCACAAAGTATTTTGTTTGTCTAAATAAAAAAAAATTACAATCACAAAACTAGACAGAAATTCTAAGTAGACAGATGTAATTAGAGTGGGTACTGTAGGTGAGCAGCCCTATCGCATGTTGTGATACCGTGACGTACCGCGGGGCTGTTGACATTTATTTAAAAAATATGGCCGAGTTGGAATACTGTATAGATAGTATTACCGTGGTATTTTTGTCTATAGGATGGCATATTTCAAAAAACAAAACTGCACTCAAGCGTGTTGTCACAGCAACCGCTGAGCACATACTAATTGAATTTCGGTCCATGGACCTGTTTGCGTGCCAGAAACAGTCTAGTTGACATGTCTTCTCTAGTACGTAGTACATTATAACTCAATGGATTGCAAAGGACTTGCTTTGTCCTCTGCGATATTGAGCTGTTTGAAGATGGAACTTTATGTCACGAGCAAGATACGAAAGATTGTCACGAAAATCTTATCTCGTTCGTGGAATAAATACAAGAAATTCTCAAGAAAAACAGATCTTATGTTTCACTCATCTCATTATGTGAAAATACCCAAGTTATTTTTTCAAATAAATTTTATTTGAGCGTTGAAAAAGCTGCCCTTATTTGCTTAGCAAATGGTTCTTAAACAAAGTTGCAATTTATGTTAATCCAGTCGTTTTATCATAGAGTGCTTCGTTCGTCTCTTGTAAAACAAATACCGAGATTCATTGCCAATAAAACGCAAATTGAATCTGCAAAACGTGACATTAAGTTTACGAGAGAAATAAAGTAGGCAATGTTTAAGAGCATTACGCTAATGTATATGTAGCTTATCCGTAAAGCTCAGCCACCTGTTATTTATTATGGAACCCACGTCCTTCTTCAAAATTAACGCCATTCGAAGCAACCCACTAACTGCCTAACGACAAAAAAATGTTTGTGTACACGATTTATTGCGACATTATGAAGAAAAAGAAAAAAGGCAAACAGGTAAAGGAACAACGTTCTTTGAACGCTGTCTTGAACAGATTCGACTGAATGACTCGAGTTCATTCAAGCAACTCCTAAACGACTCATACTAAAGTAAACGATTTAAAAATAATTTTTATCTAAAGTGAGTAGGTATATTTAACATCATAAAACAAACAGTATTCAACAATCTAACAATTTACTAGATGAAAAAAAAAAACAAAAATTGTTATTCAGAAAAATCCAATTTATAACACAAGATTGGGATTAATTGTTTCTTTCAGTGAGGTTTATTAACTTTCTTTTCAAATGGAGTAGGCGCGAGCTCCATTATCGACTTAATTAGGAGAACTAATTATGTTCCCACTCGTACATTAACGGCCTGACTTGATGAAGCCTGTTAGACATTTAATTTAGGCTCTCTAGGGCATGTAAGTTACGCTTACACATGTCAAATTAGTAACTTAATAGTTTATTAATCTGGAAGGTAAATCCTGGTTTCGCATTTGTATTAATAGAACATCAAAACAAAATTAATTCATAATTATTTTAAACTAGCTGACCCGGCGAACTTCGTACCGCCTTAGCGTAGAGATTTTCTTAATATTTTTTTCCGTAAGAACCATCCTTGGACTTCCACAAACATTTAAAAAAAAGAATTATCGAAATCGGTTCAGCCGTTCACACGTGATGCCGTGACAACGCGAAACGGGTTTCATTTTTATATATATAGACAGATTGGGGCTGACTGGATATTAAAGATCATTGTGCCATTTCAGCCCGCAATTACTCTCAAAAGTTTTTATCTCACAGAATGATGTCGACAAGAAATAAAAACAACTGACAACTGCCTATTAAATAGAAAGAAAGAAGAAGCACACTCTCATGTGAGCTCTCCTCGGCATGAGAGTGGAGCTATATTTAACGAGCCCTTTGTGAAGATAAGCAACACAGCAAGAAAAAACAAACTGTTAAGCATTAAATCACTTCAAAGCCTTTGACGGCGACGTTTTTAAGACAATTTAGAGACGAGCAAACATGCAACGAGAGGAGTCAGGAGGGTTTATGTTCAATTACTGAATAATAATATAAAAGGCGAAGGTCGTGTGAAGTTGAAGCTGCCCGAGGGAGCGGGTTCACGTTCCCCTCACGTAATTAAAACAAATATTTCTTTTGCTACATCATGGCATAATGAGATTCTTTTCTGTTAATAAAAATTTAAGTGCTCCGGTTAACTCCGTGTCCAAGGACTTGCAAATTGTTTCTAGCAATTATGCTTACTTTGTGATGCTCTTGAACTTTACGTGATGGGATCGCTATTCTCTGAAGTGTGTTTTGCGTTGTTTGTGACGGAGAGCCGTCTTGAAACACAATGGACGATAAAGTTTGGCTACAAGCTTCGATAAAAGGAGTCCGATAGCAGCCTGTTATTCTTTATGGAAACTGCAGTAAAATAAGCCAACTGTAAACAATGTTTTCGTATTTCAATATTCGTTCCGTTGTTGTTAGCAACTTTTTATTTTCCTTCCAGAGTTGTAAACTAAGCTAGCATAGCGTTCCCAACATTTGAAGTTTTAATAACGAGCTACCTAACTAAGTTCTACACCGTTGAGAGAATGGCGGTAGAGACTCAGTCACTGTTGACACTTTTTGTTTATTTTAGGGAATAAAATTCACTAGTAAGCGCGAGCTAGGCAGGTAAAATATAATTTAAACACCATTACAAAGTGGATGGGATCGATTTTTATAGGGATTTGTTTGTTCTTTGTAATTTACTTATTTGTTACGGCAGTTTCCTCAATTGGAAATGAAAGCTTTTGATATCTGAATTAACTTCAAATTCATTCGGACGCAAAATTACATTCCGTTTCCTTGTCCTTTGTACACGTCCTTATTTACGTGTTTCCATTAAACTGTATGACTGTTAATTGAGATGGTGAACGTTAGGGGCGATCTGGGATTCAAACTTCGGCGGAATTCCTGTAATGAAAGCAAACTAAGCCGTGGCGATTATCCGCAAATATGGCCAAGGTCGCTCGCCACTAACTAGGTCGATGGCGGCCATTTGCGGTTTCTTTGCCAAATAACGTAACTCCATTGTTTTCTTGCATGATACAGTTAATCACGAAATTAATGTCTGCGAAATATTGACACAATCAAATTACCTACAGGAAATAATTCACAAACAGTTCAGCCAAAATCTTTAGCCAAATAGTAACCGTAATTCAGTATTGTGTAACATAGTTCCAGACATTTTATGTACTCGTATTATGTGACCAAGGTCGATCAATACAGCTTCCTATAAATTAGGTACATTAATACAATTAATCAATATGTAGGTATATCTATCTTTAAGCAAACACAACATATAACATATTTGTTGAGCAGACTCAAATCAAACAAATAGTTCGTACTAATGAGAAGTTCACATTGATGTTTACCAAACAAAGTCACACATTGCGAGTATACAAATACGCCCAATGTTAAAATATTGATTCAATCAGTCAGTAAAGTATACATTTGGTTACTCAAACAGTTACTTCAAACTTCAAAGTAGAGTGATACTGGTGATACATTGAATTTCACACACACATTCAAAGAAATCGGAATGCCTTATGTTGAGATGTTATTCGAATTATTTATAGGCACTTTATAATCGAAGGGCAATGATTCAGAGAACAAAGAGCTTCAACCTCAAACTGGCAAAGTACTAATAAGACGGGTTTGTAGGACAGGAAATCACGCGAGCCCAAAAAGGAGGTCCTGTGAAACAAGAATACTAAAAAACTTGGACTTACAGATTTAATATAGGATTTTGTACGTAGATAGGCTAACATAGCGATATTATTAAGAGCCTACCTACTCTTTTAAAAAAAAGATTCTTAGAATTCACCAATCATCGAATATTTGGAAAGGACAGCGACGGTTTTCGTCCCTTCTGTTAGACGAAATTTCCAATAAAAATGTAACAAGCAGAAAACTGTTTCAGGGTAAGTGAACGAATAAATAAATCAGTATTTCAGAATTGGATGCAAAAAGAAAATTCGTGATTAAGTAAGATTTATTCACGGCAATATTTTAATAGTAATGTAGGTGTAAATTTTTAAATTAATTATAGGCCTGCTAGAAGCTTATCTAATTGAGAAATTTATTAATTGCGAGTAGAATTAAATAAAATTTTAAACTTTTTGTATGCGCAAACGTTTATTTATTTATCTTTTCCGTATCGAAACGTAAGATGTTTCGGTTCCTACAAGGCTCCTTTGTATTGAAGAAGGCACTTGTACTTCAAGAGGGCCCTTAGTAATAGACAGCCATTGAGTCAAAGTGGGAAGGAGACCATTACTTTTATTAGCAAGGATTCTACCTAGGAAATAATCAATATAAACCTAATTCAATAAGAAATAATGTTTACTTTCACAATTCAGACGACGATAGAAATGATTCGTGAAAGCACTCTAATACCACTCCTTTATTTCTTCGAGAACAATAATCTAAAATTAATAGAAACCCGTTTTAACAAAGCAAGCTCTCAGAAAAATACTAGAGTCTGTCTGTAGAGCGCCTATTGAACCGATATTTTCGAAGAAATCTCTTTGATGTGTTGGTTTTACATCTAAAAGCTTTTATTCTATAAATATCGTAAAATAATAATATTAAGAAAGTCTACACGTACCTATTGTAGATATAGTTGAGTGGGAGGTTAAGTTGAGGTTTTCATTATCAAATACTTAACACACTTTACTTCTAGAAATATCAGATTAGCGGTTTTGTAGAGTTAGGTACTTTCCTGTTAGGTATTATAATTTCATAGTTACAAATCGACAAGCTATTAATACAAATGGCAGAGAATAGGGAAAATGTAATAACGTGTGTTCGATCTCCAAGTCCTGAATAAATTCAGTTAAACAGAGCTCAAGCCGTCTTCGAAGAGATTGCTTGAGGAAAACATGAGGAAATAAGTACACGAAGGCAATATTAGGTTGTTCCCTGGAAAATATCCGGGGAAGTTCAGACTGTATAATATCGTATCGTTGAAATTTTACATTACTTTTCGACCGTGTCAGGCAGAAAATGTGGTTAGGACATTTCAGACTTCGTAGTATGATATGGAAATTGATTCCGTGTTTCAGAGGGCACAGTAAGTCAATCGAACCGTGCTTTTCGCTCATACTATGTCAGTTCATGAAGTCTTACATCATGATTATTACAGCTCACGCGATGCAAGAATAAATGCGAACAAGAATAAGGTAAGCGAGGTCCAGCCAGAGCAAACAGTTAGTTTTCCATTTAACAACCTATAATCATGGTCATTTTAACTGACAGTTCTGACTGTACTGTTATTGCCTCGAATGCACTGCGAGTGTGACGACTCACGACTAGTCACGACGCAAACGCGACACCGACTAGCGGATCGAGTTTGTTTGTAGTACTTGGTATTTGGTAGTTATCATAATAAGGTCCACTCTTTCCATGGATGTACGAGTAGACTAAGAAAGCAATATCTAATCATTAGGGCACCCCAATCCGTGTGGTCAGTAAGGGATCCTCTATTTGCCTATGGTAAATTAGAGCACAACCCGTGCTCCTGTAGTGGAGAGTTGAAACTAAATCACCAAAGATAATAATGAAATTAGAGATGGAGAATTGGAGACTAAATTACCTACTGATAACGATGGTGAAATTAGAGTGGGTCCTGCTCCTAGAGTGGAGGATAATGATAAGATAATGATAATATGCGCACTCACGTCAGAACGGTGCCCGCGTAGATTGTAGTTGGTGCGCAGGGGCAGCTCGTGCGGCCGACGCACGTGCGACGACGTGAATGTCACGCCGACGACGCCGCGCACGTTGCCCTGACGATGATTGGTTAGGTCGCCTATAGACGACGTGCCATGATAATGATGGATGAAGAAGGCGGCCTATAGATTCACGTCAGAGAGGTGCCCGCGTAGATTGTAGTTGGTGCGCAGAGGCAGCTCATGCGGCCGGCGTGCGTGAGACGACGTGAACGTCACGCCGACGACGCCGCGCACGTTGCCCTGACGATGATTGGTTAGGTCGCCTATAGACGACGTGCCCTGATAATGATGTATGATGAAGGCGGCCTATAGACTCACGTCAGAGCGATGCCCACGCAGGTTATAGTTTGTGCGCAGGGGCAGCTCGTGCGGCCGACGCGCGTGCGACGACGTGAACGTCACGCCGACGACGCCGCGCACGTTGCCCTGACGATGATTGGTTAGGTCGCCTATAGACGACGTGCCCTGATAATGATGTATGATGAAGGCGGCCTATAGACTCACGTCAGAGCGATGCCCACGCAGGTTATAGTTTGTGCGCAGGGGCAGCTCGTGCGGCCGACGCACGTGCGACGACGTGAATGTCACGCCGACGACGCCGCGCACGTTGCCTTGACGATGATTGGTTAGGTCGATTATAGACGACGTGCCCGGATAATGATGGATGAAGAAGGCGGCCTATAGACTCACGTCAGAGCGGTGCCCGCTCAGGTTATAGTTGGTGCGCAGAGGCAGCTCATGCGGCCGACGCGCGTGCGACGACGTGAACGTCACGCCGACGACACCGCGCATGTTTCCACGATGATGATGAAGGTGATGATGATAATGATGATTAACTCACGTCAGAGCGATGCCCACGCAGGTTGTAGTTTGTACGCAGAGGCAACTCGTGCGGCCGACGCGCGTGCGACGACGTGAACGTCACGCCGACGACGCCGCGCACGTTGCCTTGACGATGATTGGTTAGGTCGCCTATAGACGACGTGCCATGATAATGATAGATGATGAAGGCGGCCTATAATAGATTCACGTCAGAGAGGTGCCCGCGTAGATTGTAGTTGGTGAGCAGGGGCAGCTCGTGCGGCCGACGCACGTGCGACAACGTGAATGTGACGCCGACGACGCCGCGCACGTTGCCCTGACGATGATGAAGGTGATGACGATAATGATGATTGACTCACGTCAGAACGGTGCCCGCGAAGATTATAGTTGGTTCGCAGTGGCAGCTCGTGTGGCCGGCGTGGGAATGACGACGTGAACGTCACGCCGACGACGACGTGAACGTCACGCCGACGACGCCGCGCACGTTGCCCTGACGATGATGAAGGTGATGATGATAATGATGATTGACTCACGTCAGAACGGTGCCCGCGAAGATTATAGTTGGTGCGCAGTGGCAGCTCGTGTGGCCGGCGTGCGAGGGACGACGTGAACGTCACGCCGACGACGACGTGAACGTCACGCCGACGATACCGCGCCTGTTTTCATGATAATGATGAAGATGATGATGATAATGATGATTAACTCACGTCAGAGCGATGCCCACGCAGGTTGTAGTTTGTACGCAGAGGCAGCTCGTGCGGCCGACGCGCGTGCGACGACGTGAACGTCACGCCGACGACGCCGCGCACGTTGCCTGTCGCCAGCCAGCCCTCCTGGTAGTAGTTGTTGCGGTTCAGCTTCCAGCCCTCCTCCTGTACAGATTAGCATTTGTTAAAGGTTGCCGGTCAAGCTGTAGATCCTGGCTACACAGGAGTTGCAGCGGTGGGAAAGAGAGGTGGGAATAGTCCCGTAAGTGTCGTAGATACATTAAAACGTCTTTTTCACATCTAGCAAGTATTAATAAGCAAACAGCAAGCATGCAGCAACAGCAGCAAGTAAATTAATAATTACATGGTTTAGAATTAGAAAAATTACCATTAACCAAAATAAAGCCAGATTTTAATGGTTGGACACGCGTTTACTCAGATCAGGATAGAGTGGTGGGCAATGGCATCCTGATCAAACATACCTAGATACTTTTATAATGATATACCTACCACCATTGATTCTATTTGGCAATGATAAAATAGTTAAAGCTACTGAAAAATATATTTTCAGCCTATTGAAAAGTGACTTTTAAAAGTTTCAAGGCTAAAGTGTTACTTCAACGAAGTTATGTCTTGGGTTTGAAAAAAACTACACTATCCATATCTATAAATCCTTTATTGTGCATAAACGTCTCTACCACACGAGTGACACGACACGACCTTGTGAAAATAGCCCTAAATAATTATTTGCTTTTGGTTGTCACGTTTTCCAATATTACTCACACATTCACACTCACAATAATGTGATTTTCAAGTAATCAAAACATTAAATATACCTACTACTTCACAAAGTAACTATAAAGTAAATAAACCGCAGAAACAATAACGAGTTTAGCTAAACAGGCGTAAGACAGGTAAGTCTCTTATAAAGGATATTTAGTACAGTAATTTAGGCCCTCGCCGACTTGAGCCTACAATTAATGGCAAATTACTTTGAACGCTGCTCTCATTTTATCTGTGCTGGTTTGAGGGGCCTATTATACAGTGTGGAATTAATTGGTTACTAGGAAGTGTGATTTATTGAACCCTCGAGTCTATGGAGTCTATTGAGGCCCGATAAAACCGTATTTGCGACTATGTAGAGCAGGTCATCGTTACTTAGTCAGTCATCATCAAACTAAATTGTTATGTAAGAAGTACAAAGGTACTATTATTCCTTGAATTTCAATTAAACCACTAACATTATGCTTCCTTATAAGAATCTAACGAAACAACAAAAGTTAAATCAGATTTTATTCAGACGTACCCGCAATAAAGTTGCTACGAGCTACGAAGTTGCTACGATTTTTTATTACATTTGAAACGGAAATAAATGCATCGCGTACTTTAATATTCTATCGGAAACGGGGAAACTAGCTTAAAGGACGAACGGCTTTAGGTGATGTAAAAAGTTATAGGCTATATAAAAACTTGCAAGGGTTCCCATTTCCATAATATAAAAGCGGTGACTTTATACTTTCTTGCCACTTGAACTTTGTTATCAGTTTCAATAGAACCTTGTGGGGATTAAGTTTTTAAATATCAAATTCTTTCGAATCAATATTTGACTTGAAAATATCATGATTTTATTCACACCTAAATCATAGTTGTAGGCTTTTATGCAAAATTTTCATTATGCCATTTAAAATTCAAATTTTCAGTGAGTTTTCAAGCTTATCTCGACTACATAATCCTATCGGATGCAATCCGTTACTCAGGAAGCGATCGTGATTGCACTCGAAATATACGGGGGTGACGGGCCGTCCTCCGTCCGGGCTGACCGGAGATCGAAGGCGAATTGGCTATTAGCCAGATATTACCAGCATCGGCTGTAATCCGTCCATCGCCTCCAATTAACACTGATTTCTTACCACTAACGCTCTCAAGCAACAGGTTTATGGGACTGCGTAGTTACGCCGCAAAAAGTCAACAATGTCGCTGCGAGAATTGCTTTTATAACCTTTACGCCCGCGCCCATAAACGTTTGCTAGAGATTTTTGTTTCGCAGTAAGACATCTTACTTAACTAGAGAATTATTAATGAAGTTGCTTACAGTTGCCGTTTCATTGTTGAGATTTTATTCAACTGAGCTACTAAAATATTTATTTAGTATTTAAAAAAAAGCGAAGAAAAATATCGGAAAAACAAAAGTAAAATAAAGATTTATACCTAAGCACCTTACTGAAATAAATTGTTAGGCAATCGTTTTTGGACATTGTCGTTGTTTTGTATTTATAGCGCCAACAGATATAAGTAATAATTACCACCTTCGGAACCAAATTAACATCGTAACTAGAACTGTGCTGCTTCCGTACCTAGCACCTGAACTAATTTTGTGATTTCCCCAAACTCAATTTCACGACTCGGGAATCACGACCGAGTTGTCGCTGTTGCATGTTTTCCCCGAAGCCACTAATTAGATACAGTATGTGTCTGAAATGCCTGACAGGAATACAGCTCGCCCCTGTAACTTTGAGCACGTTTCACTTCCCTATAATTAGGATTCGTGAATATAAAGTTTTGTTCTCATTCCACTTCCCTATATTTGGTATTCGCGGATTGTATTCTTCTGTCTCCTAATTTAAATGAAAACAATGAAATTAGGAGGTACAAGAGGGCTCGTTTGAATGAAGTTCGTTAATTGGGACGGACGAAGTCGGGCGAGAGGCCACAGCGCGACGTGACCATTTGACCAGCACTAATGGACCAGCTAAACTCAGCTATAATGGGCATCACTGTCGTATACTGTTCAGATACATCTCTGATTGTATACAGGGTGTCCTCACACTATTCATGTGACAACTCGTGTCAATGGACGCGAACTAAATTATCTCGATTCATTCTTTGGTCTCTGTTCAGTACAAATTATATTGGTTTTAACTAAGTTAATACATTTACTACGCGTTTATTACAATTTAATTTTTTGCTTAACTTAGTGCGATGATTAACTTGCGACTTCCGTGCTAGCTAGCTATTGACCTTAAACGTATTTTAATAAAAGTAATAAATGTTCTAGCTAGAATAAATAAGAAGCTGAACTTCAGTACCTACATCGATAGTATTTTACACTGACTTCAGAAGACATTTCTTATGAGTTTAGCTGATACTGAGTCTTTGAGTAACCAGAACATCATGTATGTCACCAGAATAGTAACTATTGTGCATAGGCAGTGATTAGTGGGGATAAGCCTGTAGTGCGGTGTGCTAACAGCTTGTATAATGTAGATTATGTACCTAGAGCTGAACACAAATGGAAGCATTAATCGGATTTGAATCTAGGCGATGTGAACTTATGTAAGTTCATCATTGGCATACTACCTGCTGCCTACCTATACTATATGCGTCGTAATGAAGTAGTCTTCGAAAAAATATATTTTTTTTTTTCGATACACTAATAGAAAAGACGCCTCCATATTTGAGAAATTACATATTTGTAGAGATAATAATATCTCGCGGTATTGGTATATAAATTATGTTTACCAAATCTACAAATAAAAGGAAAACAAGTATCGTGATTTTGACGACTACTTGGCAGAATAATCAATTAGTACCAACATAATTTGCGTTCTTTTGGGAACGCTAGGTGTTTACTTAGCAATAAAATGAAGTCCATGAATTGAGATTCGTTTAGGCATGATAGAGAAAGACTTTGCGAATGTTTTAGCCTTTTAGTCTTTGTATGATAAAACAAACAGCTCTCGTAATTATGTCATCTTCGACACAATACGGAGCGAAGACAATGAATGTTTGAGCTCATACATAATGGCAATCACGTCTGTTCTGTGGCCGAGGTGTCTCGCAAAAACAAAAGGTGGGAAAAATCCGCAATACGCCGCATTCCCTTCAAGAGTTCTTTTGTAAACGAAAAAGTGTGCATTATTACGAGGCGGTCGGTGTCGGACGTGGAAATGGAAGCAAATAGGTCAAAAGTTGTGTTGAGTGAAGGAAAGTTAATTGAATGGCAGCCCTCGCTCCCTTCAGAAGGTCCGTTACGCAGATTAGTATAGCGGAGGCACTGCCCGCCGCCTACAAGTTACAACCAACTACTATTCCACGCGCGGCAAATCGCTTTCAATCTGCGTGGAGGAGAAATGGAAATTTAATGCAGTGTAATAATGTGCCGCAGGTTTCGGAGGCAATCGGGCCTTACGTGGCTTGATGGCCGCGGCAAATTGCTCCCAACCTGTAGCCTGCGGGCTACTACGAGCTACGGGGCCTGTTTACTGAACGCGCTTCGGTATTCGGTTTCAGTTAGAGCACTAATAATCATTATTATGAAGATAATGAGATAAATAATGTCCAAAAACCAATTTTGTTTAAAATCTATTCCTAATTTATGTTAACAACATTCGATTTGTTAGAGTATAGACAATACCGATTTCATTATTTTTTGTTTTCTCTATGATAGAGTCGTGAAGGCTATGAAAGCTCTGAATAAAATTAACATCTTTCAAAGATATTTCTATTCATTCTAAAATCACCACCAGTTCACCTTCAGTTTTCATGATTAATAAATTGTGTTACAAGCGACAAATTACATAATATCGTGAGTATCGTGATTATAACTTTAACAAACATTTGTCACAAACGCGAGATGCGTGCAACCAATCGCAAGCCATCTACAATTAAAATGACTGTGGCGATGCTTTCATGTAACTGGACTCGGGTTCACGCGTGTTATTCATTCATTCAAAAAGTAGATGTATTAGAAAGATAATAATGATAAATAAGTAAATTCTCACCTCTGGCAGTTCGTCGGGGACCTTGCCCATCCATGACAGCGACAGTATCGTGCAATCGCACTTAGCGTTAACGTTTCTCTCGAAATGGAGATGCATCTTCGCTGCTTCAGTTAGCACTCAGTTGCGGGTGGCCATTTTCACTGAGACACGCGCGTGGCTCGGGTCGGCGAGCTGTGCCAGAGGGGACATGTTACGAGCGAGCGGACATTGGTAGTGCGCGGCAGCGGCTTGTGGGGTGGCGTGTGACGTGACAGCGAGCCTTCGGGACGGCCGGGCGCAGGTATTGATTGCGCGGCGCGCGCACGCGGCGCCCTCTAGCCCGCGCGCGGGAAACCCCACGGAAAACACCGACAACCAACGCTCTGTGGCGCTACGATACGAAAGTTACGTGACTGAACATTATCGCAGCTATGCACCTTGCACGGCGGGAATTAATTAACCCTGCATTTATTGTGCACGCTTTATTGCTTAGATGTTATTTAGTGCTACAATTACAAACGCAATAAAGCTGTGTATGAGATATATGGGTACTTAGTTCAAATGAAAATGTTATTAGAACTGAATTACTGATTTACTAAGTTAAAATACGATAATATACTGAACGCGATAACTTTTTAATATTTTTGCGATAGCTAAATAATTATCTACCTATATAAATATTGCTTCAATGCTTACTTTTTTCGCCAATAACACGATAACACACTGACACTATTGGGCGCACTTGCCAACATTTGGAATTCAAACAAATGTTCACGATAAACCGTGCTATTTTAATTTTGGCAAGGGTTTACGGTGCTGCAGTACTTTTGTCATCGTTACCTTCACTACACTTGCGGTCGAGTTTCTGTGAAAATCATAGCATATACAATATTTTTTAATTACAAAAAATAATAATGTATTCGTACGCGTAAAAGTTGGATAGTTACTCCAAATTAACTAAGAAAGTAAATGTTTTATTGTTAAAAATCAAAACATGTAATGTCTGCTCTACCCAATGTAGAGAATATGACCAATTTCGAAATTAATTATCACAAATATACACAAATCAAGTTTGCCGTTATAATCATCTACATAAAAAAGCGAACAGCTAACTAAAACCAAAACTAAACTAAAGTACTGGAGAAAGACACAGACATATATATACGAAATAATTTAATTATGACAAATGTAAAATCCATACCTAAACATACAAAAATACTTAAGACAAAAGTAAGCTAAAACATCACATAATCGATGGCCAGACTGATTTCCATATCACAGAAAAGATATAAACGACTAAAGGTTGGAAATTCACACTCCGTGTTGATGATTCACACTTGCATCTCTTGCAAACTTCCCCATGTGTAACCAGCCTTCACTTTGACTGGTAGAGGCACTTTTAACTGTACTGTGTTTTCCATCACTTCTTTAATAATAGAAATGAAGATTTGTTTGTTTGTTTCAGGTACTTCGTAGATGAGTTCGTCGTGCATTTGTAAGATGAGTCGCGGTTTTCGGAGATCGTTGTCTGTGCGAGTGTCTATAGCGCACATGGCCGCTTTTGCTATATCGGCTGCAGAGCCTTGGATGGTCGTGTTTACTGCCTGTCGCTCCGCTGAACCTACAAGATTTACGCACGTCACGAATTGATGGGTAATTGACGTAAGATGCGCGTAGGCATATGACGTAGAAGTTAAATGAAATTGTGTAGACTGGTTTATTAGATTTCTTTTACGATAGACAGTCAAAACTGTAGTTATAGCGCTTAATTAAGTTAGTGCCTGAGGTATGGGAGCGGTACAAGGGTGACATTGACATATTATGACGTGACAGAGCATACAAATCTGACTGAAGCCTCGCTGACGTTTGACCCTCACAAAAAACACCCTGCCGTGCCGCCACCTACCTCGGGCAATGACTCAGTTAAGAGATAGATCTATAGTAATAAATACGGTTTTGTAGACCCATTTTTATGGAAATCGTAGTACGCACATAAATCGTAACTTATTTATGCTTTGTTATGGCGCGCTTTTATTTGACAAGTCTTTTAACTAGCTTCGTAGAGAAAACTATATCTTTGATATTACGTTTAGAACCGAACTGGTTGAAGTAAGACATTCGTTGGTCACGCATAACTTTTACTACTACTACTACATCTACCACTAAAATGAAGATAAAAATGTGATACTTTCGGCCGCTTAGGTGCTTAGATATGTGAGAACCAGGATCCTTGAGTGTATATACAAAATAGTTACGCTATCAACAATCAAATAACTAACTACAACTTACTTCTTTTCGAAGGGATCGAGCTGTTAATGTCCGGCAAATACCTCCGTCGCTTCATCAGGGTTTCCACGTATCCCTTCTGCTTACACTCCTCGATGACCGCCAGCGTAAACTGCTTGATGGAAGGGTAGGTCTTGTAGAAGGTCTCCATGAACACTGCCGCTTCCATTTCGGAGACGTCGAGGTGAGTTGATAGGGTCTTATTGCCCATGCCGTAGAGAATACCGTAGCAGAGCTGCTTGGCTTTTTGACGGAGATCGTCGTCCACCTATATTGAAAAAAAAATGGTAGTGTACAGTTGAAGACAGTTATACTTATGCCGTCTTACTAACATCGTTACAGATCATGTATACTGCTACTGATATTGGTAGTTACTTGAACCCTGTATCGGACGCTCATGCCGCTCATATAGTGTGACGTCAGACTGGGTGCAAGCACAGACAAAATAGAGAGTACGAAAATTTTATTTTTACGGACACTTAGAGTAGGCGCACACCGTTGATTTTTCGTTGGCCGATAGTTTAGTCGGGCAGTTGATCAGTATGGGCATGTATGGGAGTGCGCACACTACGCCGAATCGATTTGGCCGATTCTTCATACAATTTAAAATCGGGCACAACTATCGGCCAACTAAAAATCAACGGTGTGCGCCTACTCTTACAACTGACCAAGGAACTACAGAGATCTAACCATATTTTTAAGACATAACCAAGGGCTTTAATTGACAGCAAATTAAGTTTGCCACTAATTTATTGACAGTGACCTGACCATTAAGACAAAATTAATAACGAAGAGCCTTACCTCTTCTTCAGGCATGCTACTCCACGACGCTGCTATGGACTTGAAAACGTCAACATCCGAGCTCATGATCTTAGTCAACACAGGATCCTCGCTATAGTGCGTCAATATCCTCATCTCCAGCTGGCAGTAGTCAGCCGACACTAGCACGTACCCCGGCGCCGCTTTGAATATGTTCCTACAGTTGAACTCGACCACGTCATCCGTGACGTCATCGTCGGACAAGTACTGCATAGGAATGAAGAACGTCCGCGGCACGTTTTGTAGATTAGGCTCGTGCATACTGACCCGGCCGGTGCAGGTGTACATTGTGTAAGACGGGTTTATTCTGGAATACAAGCACGAAAAACATTCGCAAACTGAACGTCGCGGTCCGTTAATTCAAAGAATTAGGTATCGCTGACTAGTATCGTCATAGCTCCTCTTTAGCATAAAAAACTATAGGAGAGTCGCCTTTTGACAGGTTATAAAAATTACAATTTACTACTGGTCTATGATAAATCAGTTTTTGGCCTGTTTCATGAGATATTAAAGTCTTTACATCCATTCTACAAAATAATTGGCTATGAGCTAACAGTTAACTTTTAACAATGCAAAAATATACCTATCTCCTTCGCTGTAGATGCAAGCCTTCTCAGTGAGCGGGTAAAGTGTCTTCGTCAATATAGAATTCAATTTCCTCCAGTATATTATAATACTAGACATCGGACTATTGTGTGACGTCAACACGCTCTTTTTGGTGCTAACTTTACGCCCCCTATAAATTCCTAATACCTGCAAGAAAATCTAAACATTATCCTATACTTAGGAACTAATCAAATCAAATTCAGAATCATATCAATGGCATCAATACGCCATCTAAAATAACTTAAAAATGGATGATTAATGACGTACATTAGGTATGACAGGAAAAGTTACCTTGGCGACGTCTTTAGACGAGTTAAAGTTGAAATGATACCCGCAAATTTTAAAAGCTTTCTTGTGAAGAGTTTCTTGAGAATTTCTCACATCAATCAAGAGTTGGGACGCGAGGGCCTTGTCGACAGTCAGACCGAAGAATTCGCAATTAGATAAAATCTTCGCGATTTGAGTTTCTGTACCTGAAGGAGTAAATATGTAAGAACGCATTGTTCATGAATAGGTTAGGTCTGTTATAAAATTAAGCATATCATGATATATGAAATTCGTGGCGCAGGGTACGATTATAGAACCCGGGTGTCACGAGCAAGCCATTCATGTAGTCAAAGCTAAGGCTATATTGCATAAGACCTGTAAAAGCTGATAGGCGATAGCACTGTGGCATAATTATGATTAGAGTACAATCGTATGATTTAATTACCTATTGCGTCCAGCACATTTTGGTATTGTTTCAGTATAAAACCATTTTGCTTTTCAGCAATATTCCATATAAACCAAGTTCTTAGACATAAGTCCACATTCGATTCTAAATTCTTGTATTTCTTCTCAATGTTATTGACACGTATTGGAATCGATGCTATGTCGATATCGCAGTATTTTTTGGCCTGCAAAATGTAAAATATCGTAACTTTTATGTACGTGTTTCTTCAACTACGTGATTATAATTCATTGAACTTACCAGGTAAAATATACTTCGTGGTTTTTCATCGCTGTCGATCAACCATTCTAATAAGGATATGTCGATACTCGAAGCCGGCAATTCGACGCCAAAATATCGCTTGATAGGAACAAATATAGACTGTAGAGACAAAACTTTCCAATTCATATTGTTCCTTTTTAATGTTCTGCCTATTTGTTGCTTTACATTATGCAATGTGCCACTTATTGAAGTTAAATCTAATAACATGCATACATCTGATCCGTAACACACAGTTATACTTTTTATACTTGTTTTATCTTTCGATGTTTCATCTTTACATGATTCCAATGCCTTAGATTGTTTAAAAAATTTACTGCCGATTATTTCATTAGTTCCAGAAATAGGGCTTTGCACATCTAGGTAAATAGAGGCTGTGTGAAGCTTATCAAAAATGTGTAGGTTGTCTGATATGTCTCCGTCTCTAAGTATGAAAACATTAAATGTCTGTTTTTCAAAACTTATAATGATTTTCTTTGATTTTGCTCTCTTTATCACAGGGTGAGGTATATTTGAGATAGATTTGAAGTCAGTATTATCTGACAATAGTTGGTTAGCTTCTTTTTTGATTTTCTTGGCTTTGGGCTGCAACTCATTTTTTGTGTTAGCAACGCGTTTAAAAGGGCTAATGTACTGCTTTTTAACTGACACTTCTTTGATTTCTTGAGTGTCAATAACTTCAATAT